AGAAACGCACACCATTACTACAAGATCAGTCGTTTTCGCATCGACTGATTGATCAGGTGTTGTTTGAATACAGCTTTTGGTTATGGAACGCGCGTTGGGGAATAGAGTAATTACTAATAGTCATGTTGATTATAGTTCTAATCCACATGACTCACACGCTTATCTTTTATGGAAAACAGAATGACTATATACGCTATAAAGTTTCAGATCATGGGGTCAAATTTCACACGTGGATAATTAAGAAAACATGGCTTTATTACTATTACATATCAATATCATTTATTACCCACAAGCATCATATGACATACTGTACATCGCACGAACAGAAGTAACATGTGTTAATACAGTAATAGTCAACACAATCGTTTGCCTGCCGCCACAAATAAACCGCCATTAAGTATTATTTGCCATCGACGCTAAAACTGTTACCTGCATTCAGTGTTTGATAAATTATTCTCATCGAGAAAGAATTAACTGAGGAAAGTCTTGCAGATTAGGTTAAACGATATATCTACTTGTGACGGTGTAATTATATTTGTGACAGACGAGTGTTTGCAGTTAAAAGTGTAAAATTAATTGTTCACGAGGTAGTGGGTATTGTTCTCGATGACCTTGAAAAATGCTAATAAGAGTTTCTATTATAAACACAGCCTAAAAATACTAATACGTGAAAAAAAGTGCTATATCGAATATAGACAAATGCAGTACTAATACTATTGCTGATGGCCCCTTTACGTTGACTGGAGTTTAAAGATTATTTTGTGATTCAAAATAAAAACTCTTATGTAGTAGAAGATATGGGTTTGAGTTAAAAAAAAATATTGAAATATCGGCACAAATTGACATCGTAAAACTAGCCAACGCACGAACAAGAATTAGAGAAAACGCTCAAACAAAGGAAAAATTTTAATATATAACAAATACTCTTGTCTTAAGAAAATTATTACCATTAATGCTGAAAACTAGAATGAGTAAAAACAAGTTTCTGGACAAAAATTAACTTTGATTTTTTCTTGGAAAGCTATGCCAACTTCTCAATTACACGTTTTGCGTCTTACGTTTTTGCGAGTAAAAAAAATATTTATTTTGTATAAAGTTGTAGTATGCTGAGACAATTAAATAAATGAAAAAAAACTCCTTTGTGCTTAGAAGACGGTCAAAAATCTATCTAATTATTTTTTTTCTTGTCCTGGGTGCGAATAAAACTTTTTATTGTTACAATTAATCTTTTACCGTTGATTATAGTGTTTCTTTGCGAAAAGCTTTTTTTTTTTAACAAAAACATTTTCTTACTACTACTGAACTAATCTGAAGGGTTTATTTCAATTTCGTTTCTCCTTACTCTTCCTCTTTTCAAACGCAAAACGCGCTACATTAATGTTTTATTACGTGGGGGTGCTGAAAAGTTTTGTCGCCAGTTTTAGATTTCAACAATCAGCTGACCTACAGTATGCAAAAATAAAGTTGACCAATCATTCCACAACGGTTCGAGGAATAAATGAAAAAAAAAGGCACAAAAATTTATATTGCAATTTTCGAGAAAACCCTATACCAAAACAATTGGACATATATGCAAAACGATAACGAAAATACATTTTTGAAATCATGTAGAAATTGGTCGGGAGCCAACTCGGATTCACAAAGAGTTGGTCAATACAGTAGGAGAACAAGCACTATCTTTTTGCGCAACTTAGAGCTGAATTTATATGTTCAAGGGATAGAAACTAGAGCATTTACTCTGTTAGAAAAATATTACTGTATTACCAACGTCGACTACACCATAAACAATGACATCATTTTATTACTACAGAAATGGCTAGTACTAGTCAGGTAGTAGGTATTTCCCGTAAAAGTTTTATACAAATTCGTATACTATTAGAAGCATTTCGAACATTATGAAAAAATCTGTCCATAGTCCAGATGTCATGCTTTACTATGACATTCTACGCCACATTATTTATCACTGAAGGTAACAGGCAACAGGCAACAGGTAACACTTCTTCCCAATTAGCCATATAATTCAGATTTTTTTGCTTACTCCAAATAATGAAAGGACTAGAAAATAATTTTAATAGTTTGAAAATTTGGCAAGGGCTGTTCAGCCAATTGTTGACCATCCCAAAAGCTGACTATTAAGAAGTCATTGCACATATAATGGAGACTACTCTGAGAAAACCAAATAATTTTTTGAATAATTGTATTCAGAATTATCAAAATTGGCGACAAACTTTTCAGCCTCTCCACATATATTCTCAACTTCTTCATGGTTACATATGAATTAAATCATTTACAAAGAAATTTTTAAAATGGCTCAGCAATCTTTCTATTGGTATTTTGCTTTAATTTTTTTTTCTTTAATTTGTTCATGTGCACCCAAACAAACACTCTCTCCGTTCTATGCACAATTCATTTGGGTTTATTTTGCATTTTCTTATTCTAGCACTAATCTGTCATTTCTCTGTAACAGAACGCGTTATAAGCGCTTGCAAAATTCAAGCGCTTATGTGCATTTAATTGAGCATTTATTCAGCGTTTACGTTCAACGAACGTTGGATTTAGACAAGCATAATGTTTCCCCTCTGCATTAACTAATTCTTCATGGATTTTTGTTGCATCGCGGCCATTCTTCCAAGAAACAAAAATATAGTATCGCTGATTCTCTTGACTCATTTTCGGTCAATTGTTTTAGTAAGGTGGGAAAAAAAAATAAAAATTTCGGCAATGAGTAAATGAATTTCAATCATATTTTTTTCTTTGTCCCTTGAAATAATGCGCATTTTCAATTTTGGGTTTAGGTTGATTTTCGCTAAAATACAGCAACTATCCCACATATCATATTAATATAGAATTCTAATTCCGCCAAAAAATTTTTTAACGTAATACTTGTGGTTAAACAACAATCCAGGAGAAACGTATACAAAACGGTATTTAGATTGTGAGAATAAATCGTAGATAAAAGTCACTAATTGTTATATACGTTTAGTTCGAAGTAGGAATAGCGAACGGTTTGTTTGAAAAGGGCTAATCTCAAGGCTCGTACGTATATCAACGCTCTCCCGGGTATGTTGGCTCGACAGCGAATGAGACAGCTGACAACGGAAATAAATCGGAATTGCGATGCAGACCAGAATTGTTTACATTCAAAGTTAGTATTTGTATTAATTTGTTGACATTTTGTGATAGAAATTAATTGCACAGCGTGCGTGATTTCTTTTTATTTGTACAGAGTTACGGAATAAAAGGGCCAAAGCAAATTGTTGGATATAGTTTAGGGGTAAAACATCTAACAAACTAACATTGATTATATTACATCGCAAATGCTGATAACAGCTTTCATTACTCTTTGTTTTCTATATTGGACAATCGTAACATAGTAATATGAATCATATGGGCAGATTATGCTCCTTTTACTTTTGTCAAGTGTCTCTTTCAATAGTAGTTGTGTTCGATATTTATTATTATGTAATCTGTTTACAAACGAATTAAAATAAAGAATTGCATTGTTAGCTGTAGAGTAATTGCGACTTAAAGAAAAGGTGTTAAAAAAGAGCACATTTAACCTCTATAACCATAATAATAACTACCTACATATAAAAGCTTCGCCATCGAATGCGTGAGTTATGATTGGACTTATCTTCTTCGGTCTGAGAATTGGAAGTGTCGCTAAAGAGTTTTCTATGCAGAGCGAAAGCAAAAGTTAAGCGTGTCTGCTTGAGCGTCTCGTAATAACGTTTTTTTTTTTAAAACGGAAAAGAGTATGTGTTTAACATTTAGTGTCTGATAATTCGATGATTAAACTGCTTGCGTATACGGAGTTATGTATTATTGCAATTACAGCTATGCTGATATTAATATTAAGAGTACAGTAGATGGGGATAATTGTTGTATGAATCTGAAACGGAAAAATTTTATATACTATCGATTACCAACAAGGATAATACAGTACTTTAACAATATAAAAAAATTTTCGTGTAATGAATACTATATAAATTGTTTATGTATACTGAGCGACAACAGCTATTGTTTTGTTCATAAACAATAAAGAACTGAACTAGTACTGACTTAACAGCATTAATAATAGAACGAATAATAATGGTTATAGATATATATATTATTATACGTTATTGCTAATAGTTTTACCAGTTGATTCCAGTATTCGCTCTATTTTACTTTACAGCGTTCGTTTCAAAGTCTTCCATTATGTGTGTATATTTTCTACTGTGTATTATCGGTCAAATCACTAAGATCCGATAATTACCAATAATGTTCTTCATAAATTATAATGTTTATTAATATATATACTTTTGATTTTTATAACGGCAAATTGGTAATTATTATCAGCACTCATTGTTCATTAGATATACTTGATCAGCGCATGACCACAAACATGACCACAAACATCACGAGACAGTATCTACCGGGTCCAATCAATAGTCGATTTTCATTGTCCTGATGTGAATCTATTAATATAAGTTAGGTGATCTGCAGAATTTATGACTTGAATTGTAATACCCCTTAAAAGGGGAGTTGACGAAATAGGTACAAGGAGATGGCAGATATGGGAGGTCGGAGTGAATAAGGATGTAGCAATTTGACAGTTAGCAAAGAGATGAGGAATAGAGTTTGTAATAGTGGACACCAAGGACAAAAGGAGGAGTGAGGAGAGATATTAGGGGGAGTGTGATGAGATATCTTCCCATAATAGGTCTTTGGTGTCCCGTCTTCATAATGCAAATGTGTTTCACTGAAATCGAGGTTGTTGTCTCTGCGTGGGCTGAGACGATCAGATCAATCAAGCGCAGGCGAATACTTTTTATTGGCGTGCGTCTGTGTTACAAGCAATCTATTTCGGTATACATATGATTTTTTATATTTGATTACTTTATGACAAACAGGGCACATGTAGTATAAGAAAAACCTGTTGGCGTTACACTAGAATGTTTATATATACACATGTCTTAAAGTCCAGTGAAGGCAGCTCTCAGTGATCTGAAACGATTATGACTAGTTTCAATGTTAAGTCAGAAGATTCGGAGAAAACTATAGTATGTGATGACATGTCACCCAGCGAATGGGATGCTGAAGAAATCCTGCGCACTCACTCTTATCCCGAGTCGCGTAAGTGCTCACAATTAATAACTTTTAATCGTCCAACTTAGTCTCATCAATCTCAAATGCTCTAGACCAACTAGTTATTCACAGGGGTGTAAAGGTCACGTTACCCCCCCAGATTTTAGCGGCATACACTATCCACTCTAAATTAGCATCAGGTACGTTTGGGAGCGTATTCTATGGAGAAGAAAAATCTACTCGTCGTCCAGTGGCTATAAAAATTGTTGAAGCATCCATGACAAAAACCATTTCGTACAATGGGATAAAAATTCCAAAAGAAGCAGCTCTTCTCCAAAAAATTCCATCACATCCGAATATTATTGCGCTTATCGAGTGGGCAGAAGCATATGAAAAACATTGGATTCTCGTGTTTGAATATCACGGATTTGGTCGAGATAGACTAAAATTTACTTTAAGACATTATTTAAGAAACGTTGCAAAAAGTAGAGGAAAACGAGGATTAACGGAAAATAAAGTAAAGAAAATTATGCGCCAGTTACTGTCGGCATGTCATCATTTGGAGAAACATGGAATTTATCACTGTGATTTAAAACTAGACAATATAGTTGTCGATACCGAGGGTAATTTAAAACTAATCGACTTTGGATTGGCAGTCGAAGGAGAGAAAGGCCGTGGAAGAATTGGGTCAAGTGAATATCAAATTGTCTGAGTTTCTCAAATCGAAATAATATACAACCTAACAATTTACTGTCTTCTTCAATTCAGTTTTTCCTCCGGAGATGTATGACCACTATATTCCATACGAACTATCAACAGCACAAATATGGGTACTTGGGACTGTGTTTTACCAACTTTTTGAAGCAGCTAAACCATATCATGAAGAGCGGGTAAAATCTAAGGCATTAGGTCGAGTTATGTTTAGCCGGCATAATCGACCTTCGAACGAGTGCGTGGAGTTGATAGATTGGATGTTGAAAACAGAGCCTACTCACAGACCACAGTCGGTGAGTAGGGTTATTGAGCATTGTTGGTTTATGTGCGCTTGAGAATGGATAGATTTAACATCAACTTTATGATTTGTTCTATGGTTTTACGTTTATTGAATAAGCAACGTTATACACGTATATTTTTTCATGACTGTTGTTCGACATGCTAAGTTTATATTAACGTCAAATTAAATTTCCAAAAAACATACTTAAATTGCTAGCGTAAACTCCTCGTCATATGTAATATAACCACAGCCCCTTGAAAACGCGCGTAAACATGTGTGTTCTGGATACGTGTTAAAAGACCATACAGTTTACAACGTAACACTAAAAAGATGCGGTTCCACAACTCACTATATGTGTCATATGACTGTTCCATAAGATTATCAGTAACGGTAATCATAAATAAAAGATCATTCATAGTTACAAATTTGGTTAGCATAATACAACAGCAGCCCTGTATTAATATGGGTTAGTAATCGAGGAGTCCGGTTCATTTGCCCGACAAACGTTTGGCCGCCAATTCATTTGCCCGACAAAAAACTACCCAAAAAAAGGATAACTTTAAAATAATGCTGGTAAATATTTGTCGGGCAAATGAACTGTCGGGCAAATGAACTGTCGGGTAAATGAACTGTCGGGCAAATGATTGTCGGGCAAATGGCTGTCGGGCAAGTAAACAGCTCCCATCGAGGGTTATGTATTTAAGGCATATAAATTAGGTGAAATTTGGGATAACAAAGAAACTGGCTTTATTATTATTGCTTTGTATATTTAATTTAGGTAAACTAATTTACTTTGTTCAAGTTTCATTTGAGGAATTGTTTATACGTTTTCCAAGTTTTGGTTTTCCCTAAAACATTAATTTATTTTATTGCGATAGTCACTACAACAAAACGAGCAAAATAATTTCGTACATGTTTGCGTTTGCTTATAATACAGGATCAGTCGTCGGAAATGTATGATTGTTTTCCAAGGTGTTACAAAAAATCATTGCTCATTAAGATTAAGTATAGATGTTATTCATATGTGCACTACACCAACCCTATTTCACGATAACTTTAATTATAACGATAAATACAAATTAACACAAAAATGTCTAAATTTGTGCGAGTTATTGTTGATGGTTTTACTAATTGAACAATCTTTCTTCATGTACGACGTTTCTCCCACAGCGCGAGCAAGTTTTAGTCTAATACCGATAAACTCCTTTACAATAAAGTTGAGTGTTCAGAAAAGATTATTTTAATAGTGATATTGTTTAATATCTGTGACAAGACAAATTTCTGTTAACAGCTACCATCACTGAACGTTTTTATTTCAATAAAATAATTTCAACTCTCTGTTGTGTATATTGTCTCTGCAACAAATAAAACAGGCACGTGGTATTACACCACTATTGATTAAAAAGAGTGCCTTTTTTTAGCTCGTCGTAAAAACATCGATGTGATGTTTATTGCTATAACAAACGTCAAAGTTACTCAGCCCGTCGCCCACCCTGTCTTGTAGACGGGGAACATTGACTTAGACCTACAGCTAATGAATGTATCAATGCTATTAATTAAATTTAATCGGCTGACTATTACCCAAACACGCAATACGCCAAAATAATTGAGCAAATTAAAAATGTCTTAGTTTACAACGAACGAAAGAGAAATGTATTCTTAATTCCTACACTTCTATCGCAATGAAATTTGTATACAAGACTCAAAACCATTACCGCTTCTTACAATTGAACGTCATTTTATACGCATTCGGCAGCAAAATATTTTCGTGTGTAATATGTCAGATCAACATGATCGGAAGGTTTTCAGAACCATCGAATTCGCTACTACTTTTATTATATATTTGCTCAATAATTATCTGATACATTTGCCTAACAATTCTGCAACGTAAGTTCTATTATTCTATTACTATATGTACTGGTGTTACACTAAGTTCAATAAGTGTTCTAATATTTATTAAAAATCAGCATTATTCGTATAAATATTATCATAAATTTTGTACCTAGTGATTTTGTAATCAACTATATATATAAAGTATCAATATAAAACGTTAGAATAGCTTCATTCTACTTGTTTTTTGATTGTTTAAAAAATATTTTCTATAGATACATAATTGTCAATTATGTCAACTTATTTCATATTAGCAACTAATTATATAGTATTAATCCTTATTACCTCCCAAGACATAAATTTGATCAAAGCTAGCAATGATTACTTATATTGACTGTGTCCGGAGTCAGCATCATTGCGATAAACACAGCATATTGGTTTAATTGGCTTGTGCTCTGAAATTAGCAAGTTTATGACATTAAATTCTAGCTATGTAATAAAGAGAAGTAGTTTTACTGTTAAAAGTTATACTGCGTTATTACCATATGAGCAAGTTCTTGTCTTTCGATACGATATTTTGTAGCGACTGGTTCCTCGCAATTACTATCATCGATTAATTTTTGCGCAACTTTATCTACAGTATCGACACAATTTTCTAACGCCATCAATGCATCTTGACCAGTTTGGTTGTCGGCACGTTTGGTTAGGCTTGTGTATGAAGTGTCTGTCGAATTTTCTGGAAAGAACGCTAGCATAGAATTTGGAAAAAGCAATCGTATTGTTTATTGATTGTCACTCATATTGTTTGTAAGACTTTTATAGATATGCAATTAGTAGCACATATCACCGTTTCCACGGACAATAAAAATCTCTGGCTATTGCGCCAAAAGAAAAGTTTTAAGATGCCTACCATTTACTGAATGGTAGCAGCTAGTTTTGAACCTTTACGACTGTAACAACTAGAATAATTTTCAATTTGTTATCTGTTCTTTTTGATTAAAACTCAACCATGTGATATTGTTTTTTAATTGTTTTGTCTTCAGTACCTTTATTATCGTTCCTCTTGTTCTGGTTTATATCCATATTCAGCAAAATATATTCTCCTGTTTTTTCATGACGACGACTCACGAACTACTAATATTGGCGAGTCTAAAGTTGGCACAATAAGACATTTTTTACTAAGAATATTTACACCAGATAATTAACTAACAGTTTACAACGTTAAATATATGGGATTATACGTTTATTAGCACCAGCGGCAATTAATCGATACTTGGGTGTAAAACTTACGTTCCCGTGACTTTACATATATAGTTCCCAGCCTTTTGCTCAAATCGCTAAACAAAAACGGAATTTCGGGGGAAATCCTTATTTTTTGTTTTAGTTAGTCCTAATCAAGCATCATGTTAGTCTATCAGGTGATATAAAATGATTTTGTTGGCAAATCAAATTGTACGCGAATTTGCCGGCAATACAGTTTAAGGGATACCATAGTAGCACATTTAGTAATGGTCAAGAATAAATGGCACATTCATAACACACTGGTTTAGGTCAAATGAATATACATCGTCAACTCGATAAGGCACTAATTCTTTAATTTCTCTATCTCGGGACTGGATCGAGCGAAGACTTGTAGATTCGGAATAATAGCACCCCTCTCAGGCGGCAAATTCCTAAATTCTGGCCCTACCACTATTTTCCACCCGCGCATCTTCCACGTTAAGTAGGTATTGACTTGGCAATTAATTATCACCAGTCACCATTCGTACATATACATCGATCTTTTTACAATTAATATCGCCTCCCTAACTCAGCGAATCCATGTTCATATTTGCCGGAAGCACTAGCTTCAGTTGGTAAGATTAACTAGCATAGTACGTAATCATATCATTTAGCTTCCTGCGTCAAAATCTTCTGCGTACGGAGAGAGAGATGGGCTTGCTGTATGCAACCTTTTGTATCGGAATCTGCTGACAAGAATTTCACTTGCATCTTAACGTAGAACGCTACTTTGTTGAAGAGACTTTGACCATCGTCCCTATCGTGTTGAAAACTGTATTATTTGAGTAACTTTTTGATCCGACAAAAATAATCTTCTGCATCATTCCTTTCTCTTTCATAACATTCTTGGTTATGGGCATCAGGATTCTCTAGTCGTTTGATAGATAGTATAGACAGCCTGGTCTTTGGTGAACGTGTTACGGACTTCTTTACAAACGAGACCGATTGGCTTATTGTGCGCCGTTTTTTCGAGTGAAGGGCGCCAGTCTTGTCTGAACGCATTGTTGTAACATATCAATTGTTCGTAAGTCGAGAGAACACGGACGAGGCTGTTGTGTTTCAGCGTCCGCATTGAGAGCTTACGAAAATAAGATTGAAGAGAGAGCATGTCAATATATGATCTTGTGATATTGTATATAAAGACTGCATCGGAATTACTCACCTAGTGCAAAAGTCACGTGATTTATTCAGGAGAATAATGATCGTAACAATCGATATTACAATGCGTATCAGAGATTCGACAATTGTCACAAACCGCAGGCACGCCGTCTTTAAATTCTTGAACAACAATGCGATGAAAACTGCTGCTCCGTCCAATCTCGCTATCTTCTGCAAAATCGTTTAATTCTCCTGTACGGTATAATCTTCCTTCAGTTCTAGAGGACATGCCTACTGCCATATGATGATAAATGAGTCTGTCTTTACGTCCGAATGGCTTATGCAATTGCTATAGTTTAATTTTCGAATAGCGTCACTTTCTCCAGTAGCGGTCGATATGCCGTCGTCTTTGAGATTATGACCACTGACAAATACTCCATCAACAGCCAAGACCTCGCTTGTAACAAGTCGCCTTACTCGAATCCTGTGCACTGACAGCAGCAGCTCTTTACTATCTCTAATAAGTAACGTAGTGCGAATACTGATTTTGGTTCACTGGTGGGAAGGACATTGACCAGACGCACTTATTCGTTGTACGAAAAAAGTGGTTAATGTCATGTTTTTTAGATATTTCTTCTAATGTTATCGATTCCAATGGTATTATTCGTCATTCGGTATTCCCTTGCGTCTTTTGAAATATTGCAACAGTTTACGTTGTCGTGCGGGTGAGTGTTTGCCCATGCGGCAGTTTCCTTTGCCATGAACTATTATTAATCAGTTTGTGTGGAATAACTTGGTGAGTATCAACAAATATTA